GGAGGGGGGATACCTACCTTGGGTACCTTGGGTTCGTTTCGGGCTAGCACGCCCAGGGCCAAGACATCTTGCGTCTCCACCACCGGTGTCTCCGTTATCATGTCTTGCTCACAGCCCATTCCAAGATTGAATTGCCATTAGCCCCTGTATATCCAGGGGTAGGAGGGGTGTCGGGGACGGTATGGAGAAAGCGATCAAGTGCTGCCTTGAATTTTGGCAAGGTTGGGATAGACTTGATGTCGTGAGGCACAACGTTATACAAAGCAGAGGCCACTGAAGGGAAAGAATGGAACTTCATGGTGTTGATGCTTTTGTATTTTGATCCGCCAAGAGGACGAGACATGTAACTCCTCTTCTTTGAGAGTGTTGGAAAGTAATGTTTACACTGTTGGGAATCTCACCGTAGTAAATTTTCCAGACAAGGATGATCATGTACCTCTCGCGGCGGCGCTGTAGGGAGTAGAGATCAAGTTGCTTCAAGCGCTCCCAGTAGCTAAGATGCTTGTATCCCTGCTATTTTCGCAGTGAATGAGGCGTTGGATCGACTCAATCATGATTATGTCACACTGCAGGTGAGGTGACCAGAGAGCACAACAATACTCGGTAATAGCTTAATAGAGCGGACGTATGTCTTGAAGAGCATCATCATCGTGTCTTTGTTTCTGGTAGAGAAAGTTCTCAGTACCCATCCAGCTTTGCTCGCTGCCTCAGAGGACTTTCTTGTGATGTGATGACGCCAGGAGAGATCACTGTCAACATACACACCGAGATCTTTCACGACATCATCAGAAGATATCGATGCACCAGATGGTAGAATGTAGGGTTTCTTTAGCTCAGGGTTCTTACCATGCTGGAGAAGTTGGAACTTACTTTCGTTTAGCTCCATGTTGTTTGCTACTGCCCATCGCACTACTGCATAGAGATCTTCCTGGAGACATTTGCAGTCGGACGGGGAGCTGATGTTTTTGTGGAGCTTGGAATCATCAGCGAACACTTTTACCTTGCAATCCTTTACAACTTGGAACAGGTCGTTGATATACAAAATAAATAGCAGTGGGCCTAACACAGTGCCCTGTGGTACCCCACTTAGCACCATTATGACGAGAGATTCAATACCATCGACAACGACATGTTGGGTTCTTCACTGAGGAAGCTTCCAGCCAGCGGTGAGCGTTGCCCTGGATACCGTACATATGGAGCTTCTTCAATAGTATAGCGTGATCTACCTTATCGAAGGCTTTGCTGAAATCAAGATACAGAATATCAGCATTTTCGTCTCGATCTAAGTCATCCATGATGTCTTGGACGTGGTGAAGAAGTTGAGTAAGACAGCTTCTTCCAGCTTGAAAGCCGTGTTGATCGTGGTTGATGATGTCTTGAGCTACAATGTAGTCAACCAGCTTAGCGCGGACGACCCTCTCGAACATCTTATGAGGTTGGATGTTAGAGATACCGGTCGATAGTTGGCAGCAATCGACTTTTCCCCTTTTTAAAAAGGGGGATAATACTCTGGTTCTTGAATTTGTAGCTATTTCACCAGAGCTTAGCGAAGCTTTCCAAAGCTTGGTTATCACAGGAGCCAGGGACAATTCCCACATTCCTTGAGGATTAGGACTGGGAACTTGTCAGGTCCGACTGCTGAGAAACGATTCATCGCCTTTGATGGCGTCGAGGATATCTTGCTCATTAAAGTCGATGTCCTGAGTTGCTCAATGACCTTGGACGTCCGGACTTCGGCTAGATTTGCCTTTTTGGGGTCACTGAAAGACACTCGCATATTGATCTGTAAGCTATTACTCATTAGTGGCTGGACAGACTGGGAGCTGGTTCATCACTATCCATTAGGGGTCCGACAGATGCAGCAGGGGTTTTAAACCTCTTGCGAGGTATAAAACGCCTTAGGATATTCTTATCTTACTAAGAGCAAACAAGTTCTTCTCTTGCTCGCTGCTGTTTAATGTCCGCTATATGGAGATCTCGGACAGCAGCCCTTCTTCATCCAGCTTGCGAGCTTGACATTATGGCGAGGAGGAGAAGGGCCACAAAACTCTGTATTTAATACAGATGATACCTGGGCATTATAAGGCGCTTTTTCTTTCTAAGTAGAGCCACCACTTTGACCTTGGATTTTTGAAGATGCGCGGCTGGACGATTGTGCTATGAGAAAAGTGCGTTGTTTCTTGCAGATCTGCACAAGGATCCCTTCAAAACATATCCCCTGCAGCATCTTGGCTAGTTGACGGGTGGGTTACTGTCTACCAGTTCTACTGTAGTGAGTTCCTTGAAGTAGTGATGTTCCTTGTTGGAGAGGGCGAGGGAGAGGGAGAGGAGAAGGGAGAGGGAGAGGGAGAGGGAGAGGGAGGGGTGAAGGAGAGGGAGGGGGAGGGCGGGGAGGGAGAGGGGGTTGGAGGAGGGAGGGGGGTGAGGAGAGAGAGAGGGAGAGGGAGAGGGAGGTAGAGGGAGTAGGGAGGGATAGGGGGGAGAGGGAGAGGGAGGGAGAGGGAGGGGGGAGAGAGAGGGAGGGAGAGGGAGGGGAGGAGGGGAGGCGAGGGAGAGGGAGAGGGAGGGGGGAGGAGGAGAGGGAGGGCGAGGGAGGGGGAGAGGAGGGAGGGGGAGAGGTGAGAGGGAGGGAGAGGGAGAGGGAGAAGGGAGGGAGAGGGAGAGGGAGAAGGAGAGGGAGGGGAGAGGAAGAGGGAGGGAGGGGGGAGGAGGTAGAGGGAGGGAGGGGAGAGGGAGAGGGAGAGGGAGGGAGAGAGAGAGGGCGAGGGGAGGGAGGAGGGGAGAGATATAGAAGGGGATAGAGGGAGGGGGCGAGATAGGACGAGATAGCGGGGAGTGGAGGGAGAGGAGGGGGAGGGGGAGGGGGAGGGGGAGGGGGAGGGGGGAGGGGGAGGGGGAGGGGAGGGGGAGGGGGAGGGGGAGTGGGTGGGGGAGGGGGAGGGGGAAAGGAGGAGGGAGAGGGCGGGGAGAGGGATATGGGGCGAAGGAGGGGGGGCGAGGAGGGCCTGCAGTCCGGCCCCCCCGAGGGGGAGGGGGAGGGGGGAGGGGGGAGAGGGAGAAGGAGAGGGAAGAGGAAAGAAGGGAGGGGGAGAGGAGCAGGAGAGGGAGAGGGAGAGGGGGGGAGAGGGAGGGGAGAAGAGAGGGAGCGGGAGAGGAGAGGGAGAGGGATGAGGGAGAAGGAGGGGAGAGAGGGAGAGAGAGGGAGAGGGAGAGGGAGAGGGAGAGTGGAGAGGAGAGGGCGGGGTGGGAGAGGGGAGAGGGGGAGGGGGGAGAGGAGAGGGGGGGGGGGAGAGGGAGAGAGGAGGGAGTGGGGAGAGGGAGGGGTAGAGAGGGAGAAGGAGAGGGCGGGGGAGGAGAGGGAGAGGGAGAGGGAGAGGGAGAGGAGAGAGGAGGAGGGAGAGGGAGAGGGGAGGGAGAGGGAGAGGGCGAGGGAGGAGGGAGAGGGCGAGGGCAGAGGGAGAGGGGGAGGAGAGGGAGAGGGAAGAGGGAGGAGAGAGGGAGAGGGAGAGATATAAGGAGAGATAGAAGGAGATAGAGGGAGACACCTTTTATTACTTTCTACAATTAATTACAAAGTCCTTCCTCTAAAGTTTACCGCTGTGTACACTGCTAAGTACCTGATAACGGACAGTTACCATGACAACTGAGGCGCTACATCTCACAATGTCACGTGCAGACTGTACCACATTTCACTGCTCTCTGTAAACACACATGTTGCCGCTAAAGATAATTGCATTTGCAGCACATGTGTGGGATGTGTGATCTTTCTACAATATTCCCAATAAAATACCATCTGTTTATTACCATATTTCTAATTGCATGTTATCATACTGGATATAATGTATAAGGTCTAAAAATGTAACGGTCTGGTCTTCTTTCTCTGATTAACACGTGGAGCTTGTTCCAACTGTTTATATTCTGATCTTGATTAATGTTTTTTTCTATACTTTACGTTTTGATGTTTGTCAGTATTTTAGCGCAGTATTTTAGGGCAGAATTTAGCGCACAATATTTAGTGCAGTATGGTAATTGGTAGTGTAGAGGTTTACTTTTAACACATCTGTTTTGGTTATCGGGAGTTTAGTTTGGGATTGTTTAGAGATTGCAAACAGTTAATTTGGGATTGTTTTGACTATCTGGGTACACTTAGGATTAGGCCAGAGAGATGGGAGTTTTTGGTTCTGGGTGATCAGGAGTATTTTGTTTATTGTTTTGGATATTGGAGTGAGGAAACATTGAGATTGTACTTGCAAATTCGATATCACGTACCAAAATTAAAGTATTTCACTTCTCGTCTCCTCGAACCAAATTCAAGGAAAAGACCACTTTATCATGCTGTTGACTGTGTGTGTGTGTGTGTGTCTTTGCGTGTGTGTGTGTGTGTGTGTGTGTGTGTGGTATGAGGAGACACTAACTTGCTTGTTATAAAGCAATATACAATGATTCCTGCATCCAATACATGTCCAGTAACGTGTGACTACCCCAGTAGGAGTAGCACTGTGTTTCTATTGATAGAGAAATACACGTGAATACAACGTGAAACAAATGCAGATGATCATGCGACAGTGAGTAATTACACATGTCCCTACTACATACTACATACTACACACAATACATACTACATATACTACATATACTATGTACATATACTACATTTAATACTACATATACTACATATACTACATATACTACATATATACTACATATACTTCATATTATACTACATAATATACTACATATACTACATATTAGCAACAAGAGAAACTCCATTGTTGGACGTGAGGAGAGTGAGGAGTCCTCAAACTACATCAAATTAATTCCTTCTGTAACGTCCTCAATAGATGTAATAGAATTGTAGTGTTGTAATTAGTTTGAACGAAATCACTTATTGATATTGAATATCCCCCTCACTGGCTGTGAGGTGAGCGCAGTCATTACTCGGCTTACAGTTATTGATGATAACTTAAAATATAAAGTTAAACTCATCGAAGAAACATAAGTTACGAAACAAATTATTTTCAACAAAAATTACATTGGCAATAAGCACATAATATTGTTCTTACTTTTCTGATGAATATCTAGTAGTTCAACAAACCTAGTAAATTTAACGCTATCCCAAATGACACCGAATTGATTAAGCATCATTCAATGTTTTCTAGCTAACATGGCTCATATAACTTGAGGTATAGAAAAATATTTAACACTTTTTAAACGATTTTTAAATAATTTGTAACAATAAAATCACCATTACGTGTAATATGTGTAATATGTAGGTTTTTAGATGTACAATTTGAGAACAAAAAAAGAAGATGTGCTGAAAACCATGTTAGTATGGAGCATACTGTGCTGAATATTCATGTTAGTATGGAGCATACTGTGCTGAATATTCATTCAAACATACCCTGTTGTCAGTCCAACAAAGCTCCATTCTAATTAGGGGCTTAGCATGGCATGATCATCAAAACCTCATTCTCTATCTTATTGTAACATTTCAAATTTTTAAAATGAACAAACAAACTGAATAAAAATATGCAAAGCAACGTCAGCTAGTCAGCGTGTCGCGTACTTGCTAACTAATTTACCTTTCTCCTGAGATGTGCTACCATAGTTATCTAAAGTTTTCTGCCCATCTTTTTTACAAACATTCAAAAACACGATGTCTCCTTTTTCAAAGACACCATCTTTCTCATTACAGTATTTCTTATAGTTGCTGATGAGCTCTGTGCATTGTGATGAAGACTTTGTCTTCTCCTCCAATCGTTTTAAAACAAATCCTGAATCTCTGATGGTTTTACCTGTTTTCCAAAGCTTGTAGTGTTCGTAAGTTAGTGCGGAGAATACATCACACATGATTGGTAGTATTGCTAAGCGTTTATTGCATTCCTTGTTGAGGTAACCACTTCTCAACGCAACGAGAGCAATTTTAGTGAGGTTAATCAACAACACACAAAAAGGAAAATTCTGAGTCTCATTTTGAGAGAGTTGATACAACTTTTGGGCAAGAGATTTCTGTTCTCGAACCAAATACAGAATGGTGAGCAAACTTAACATACCAGTTCCTCTTAGGTCTGTAGCAGGATCATTTCCTTGGAAACCTATGTCCTGCCAATGAGACCCAAACCTCGCACAATCCAACTGGGTACCAGTGAGAGATTTGTAAATTGTCATGAGAAGTTGGAAATCTTTTGGATCATCATTATCAAATTGGCAACGTGCCAAGCAAAACACAAAGGTTTTTTCTGCCTTAAGCTGGGATTTCAATCGAGGTGGCCCACAAAGTTGAGCAAAGAATTTAGCGATGCCAGTGAGGTGAATACTAGTCATGATATCAGATTCGTATATACTCAGATCTATACTTTTGAAGTGCTGAAGAGCATCTTGATAAGAGAAAAGGGGTGTTGATAGAAGCATGGCAGAATCTGGTGACGATGGGATGGCTTGTCCATCTGCAAGGATTTGTCTCTCCAAACCATCCCATTCTGAAGTTATATTCTGAGAGGATTCTACACCTGTAACTGCACCTGTCTCATTGGCAGTTATATTCATGTCATTAACAAGGCTCTTACCACAGAGTGAATTCAAATCATTTGTTACAGATGATTCACGAGATATATTGTTGATACCACTGGATTTGTCAGGGATGTACATGTTTTTGTTCATATTTTGGTTTTGAAGGTTCATATGGTCGATAGAATTAATAACCTTTGCTGATAAGGGGGCATTAATTGTCTTGACAAATGGCTTATCTGTCTTTCTGATTGTGGCTGGCGACAAAACATTCAGAGTTCCTGAAGCAGAAAATTCATGCTTGTCCCTGAAGACTTTCTCAGGTCCATTAACATTGCTAACAGTGGGAAACTGTTCAGGCTCGTCTAAGTCAAAATCTGGATCTGTCTCTTCTCCAGCTGTGGTAAGATAATTTAGGGCGTTCTCGCCTGCTTGGTCCCAAACATCCTCAACTTCTGCCTCTGTCATGGGTATATCATTCTGAAAAGCAGTAGAGATCAAAACATACTATTTAACCATACTCAAAGTAAACGAAAAATAAAAGAAAATTAGGTCTCACGCAGGCGCGTGATACATATATAAATTACTTACGTGAGACCTTATTCCTGCGTGAGACCTAATTTTTCCGTTCGACCTAGTTACAGTAACAGGCATTTAAATTTTTCTTTTCTGACAAGTACTCACTTGTTATAATACTCTTTTCAAGATTTATTGTTTTACATCTGCAGGCAATTTTGCAAAATGTTCAATACGCACCCACACTTACTTCAAAAACTTTAAACATCCATAACCCAACAACCTTATATTTTGACTCATATTTTAACACAAGATAGAGGATGGTGTGATCTTACTGCTTACACAGCATGGATACAATTAATTAATTTGCCTAAGAGTTTCAGACTGCCAGAGTGCATTTGTATATTAAACACTTCCCGACCTTTTATGATCTAGAAGTGTTGATCATATTTAGGTCCAAATCACTTATTGCCATGGATAGAAGAGTTCTGGCACCTCTGTAACCCCTAATGGGAATTATACAAGTTTTGAGTAAATCGAAGCACAGTCTGCGTCTGACAAATGACATCACGTTTATGCTTTTCTCGTGAGATTGGGTGGCGATTAGATTTGGACCGTTCTGTGGATATGCTTATACGTTTTTAGTATATGAATAGGCTGTGGGATTGTTAAAGTAAGCTATACCAATTTACTTTATATGCTGATTTCGAATAAGACCTATTACTTAGCATGAAAATCATTTCTTGAAGAGTTATGAGCAAATAACAGTTTTGTCAGACGCGCGCACGTGACAGGCTTGTAAAACGATATTCCAGCTGTTTATGCTTTAGGATTCGAGTCAGGTTTGGTTTTAAAGTAATTGTGAAGATAGCATAAAGATTTAAAGTACAGATTTGTGCACTTTAACTTTAAATACTTACCATAAAAATCAAAATTAGAATTTACCAATGTACACAGAACGGTCCAACAAATTTAATAGCCACCGTGAGATTAGTACATCTGGGCTTTTATTGAGGGTGAATAAAGTACCCTTACATCTGTAAATGCCCTGTCCAGCGGCGACCAGAACGATTTTGCACTGATATCCAGCCTTGCGCCATCCTGTCTATTTGTTTCATTAAATAATTTGAGTGTGTGGAGCCAAACGGAAAAAAGCTGAGACTCTGTTTCAACATCTTTGCAAACAGTGGTTAAGTGTTCTGCAATTGTATCTCTTGAGTGAATTGTGTATTATTAGTGAAACGTAGCCTCCGATTTTTCAGGGTAATGTTTAAATCTGCCATTTTCTGAAAATTGTGCAAGTTTAGTTTATGCAACTAAATAACTTAAATGATATTGGTCAGTTCAAGCACACAAATACACACGCGTGCGCATCTTATTTCTGTAACACTCAGATGCAATGATATATTGTAGAGATGTGTTTCACATAGCCATGTGTCTACGCGTACTACATGACGGGCTTGTTTCACAAGTAGGTCGGATCTTGTATCACGTCGTGACCCCCATCGTCGTTTCACTATAGTAGAGTTTCTACGATACAGGGGGAGCCGCGTACTCGCGCGCGGCGGATCATACAACGTATGACAAGTCGGATCGCCGCGCGCGCTATTGCAAGCGAAAGGGCTTTGGTTAAAGCAAAACATGTGTAATGATGTGATGTCATAAATTTTACTTTACTTTACTTTTACTTTTATCACATGTACATATTAGTTCATTATAATACTAAACATAAATAAAAACAATAAGCAAGAGGTCAAAAACCAATAATAGCATGATACTAGACCAAAATTAATATAGAACATTGTAGCGCAATTCGTTACTGGGCCGCGCCGCGCATCCAATAATGCTTCTCGCAACCACATTCGTTAGATCAGCTAAATGCGCTACTGGGCTTCGCCGAGCTGCGAAGAATTGACATCGTACAATAACATAGAATACAACGTCATTAATAAAAGCTGCAAGTTTATTATCTTGTGATTTCACTTTCAACTTTGACCAGTTATTATGCAGTCATTTACTATTCAGGCGGTTGTTGACAAGCAGCGCTCCTACTATAAATAAACCATGAACCGTTGCTTGATGTCGGAGTGTTTCAGAAGTGCAGTGTAGAAGTGAGACGCGCACACGTTGCTAGCTCTAACCAGAGCCCTCTCGATTGCAGTAGCGCGTCACGCAGTACGCGTATACACATGGTTATAGTAGAGGCTCTTACGGGCAAAAAGACCTGTTTTCTGCTACGAGTTTAGAGACCTAACCGCTAATTGGACACAATAGTATGATGTCTAAGGATCGATAATATGTTAAGAAGTATAAATTTGGCCTTATTAGTCACGTGCTATACCAATGCGCGTTTTAAATTTTGACAGTCTATTAGTCTAAGGCAAATAGAGTAATTATATTCATATTTTGTCAGCAATAAGATCACATTATTTTCTATTTGGTGTGAAAATATGAGTTAGAACGGACATAATCTCGCTGAGTTATAGCTGTTTCAAATTTATGATGAACGCGCGGGTGCCAATTGATAACAACTAAATGCTTTTGCGCGTAGTGCGCGTCGAAAATTTGGCAAAAACGCTTGCGGAGTGACAATATTCAAACTTCGATAAAGTATATGAAGTGGGTACTTCTCGGAAAGGAAAAATTTAGGCAAACACGATGTGACTATTTTTGGGTTGATTTAATACAACTGCAAAAAATTATTCAAACTTCAAGCAAAAAAGTCAAAATTTTTACTACGTTTTTGGATTTTTACCCCCAAAAAAATAGAGGGATTTTTCAAATTTTTATATCATCTTGTGCGGCTGTTTTTTAGCTATCTCCATGCAAGTTTTGCCGACATGCCAACAAAATTAACTTGTTCAAAATATCAAAAAACATGGTTTTTTGGCCTATTTTTTGCCCAAAAATCAATTTTTTGCAATTTTACCCCCAAAAAGTCAGTCCAATCATCTTAAAACCACTTTTAATCGATTCTACGGTCAAAAATACGTCTAGTAAGGTGTATCTGGGGTCCCTAGCGTATCGAGCAGACAATGCCCGTAAGAGCCTCTACTATTATGTGAAGCGCACACACGCGCGTATTTGTATACGCCGCAGTTGTTTTATTGTTAATTAAATTGATTTGAAAATTTGGCCAAAGCTTAGTTTTAGTTTAAATATTACAAAACAGCTTGAAGGTTTCAAAAACAACATTTAATTTAATATACGTTAAGTTCTGTTTTGAAAAATTTGGGCGGGTAAAGTTAATTGTTAATGGATAAACGTCAAAAAGCAATTATTGATTGTTATTAATCTAAAATGACATAATATTTCTCCCACCATGACCAATGTTGTATATTATATTATAGGATATACATATTATAGGGTGTATACTGACATGAACAACTAAAGTATTGATAGGACATGATTTAGTTGATATAATGATAACATTTAACCTTTGGATTTTAAGATAATGTAGAGTTTATTATATAATCGTCGCTGGATCAGTGTAGCCTTGTTATGTATGCTGTACGCACGCGAATGTGGGAAAATTTTGAAAAACTTAACTGAGGTACTTAGAAAAATGCGCGTTTTGCTCTAGAAACACACTTTTTTAAAGATTTTACCACTGTACCCTCCAAAATCACCTAATTTGTTAAATTTTAGGTAGGGGCGTCAAGAGGAGAGGGTGCGCCATCAGGGGGGCGCCAACAGGGTTACGCCAATGTGTTTTCCAAAAATTGATTACGTAATATGTGAATGACGCCATATTGGAGTTTCTAGGGATATCTGCTTGTTAGGTGCATATAGTTTACTATTGTTTGCAAATGTAATATTTTATTTCAAGTAAGTCAAGTGTGTAGGATCTTAAGTATATAATTGGTGTATATTACATTTCTATTATTAGTAGAATCAATCCATCAAACGTTGTTCTCAAGGTACGCGTTGTCGTTGCTGAGGTCAGTATACTATATTATATGCCCTTTGGGAATTTTTTTCGCATTAGGGGTCCATCATCCTATTACTGTGATTCAAGTCACTTGAAAAGATCTACAGTCAGCATAAGAAAGATTCTTAAGAATAGTGGGTATTTCAGTCGATTTAGTCTTAATATAAATTGTATGGGACCACTCTGCACTAAGATCTATGAGATGATAGCTGATTAGAAAGAAGCTAAGATGTAAGATGGAGACAAGATTCACTTTAGTCTATTTTCTTTGAAGGTCCCCTCTTTTTTTATATTGACATATTTTTGACTACTGAAAAACTATTGATACTGAATTCGGAAACTACAATAAAAATGCCTGCTGTGTAACGTTTTATGTTGGCACCCCCTCTGAAGCTACAAAATAAGTTTTACAATGCTTTTGTCATAAAAGTGACCCCCTACCTTGTTTTCACTGGCAAAATGTCGATTTAGATAGTTTAAAATTGGCCTGCAGTGCAGGCCCAGTTGGGCCAAATTTAAGCCCTGCACCAATCAGGCATGCACACAACTGTACAGGTAGGATAGCCAAACAGCTTGATAATGATCAACTTTCTGCATAGAGTTGGTGAGGCTCCACAGTTTGAAAATTAGAATGACAGGAGATTGCCATCCCACAAGCAATTAAGTTCCAACACTGACCCAGCTTCTGCTTGTTTAGCACCACCTCAAGCATTGTGAATGCCTAAATAACATTGTTCTCAGTCTAAAGTCCCATCCGATCTTGCAATTACTCTGATTTAAGCACATCTTTTGTTTCACAAATTATTCCTGCTGAATAGGGATCATTAGTTTGAAACTACGATGAGTATACAAAAGAGAAATATTACGGAAGTGTTCAAAATTGAGTTACGTTTTTGATTGTGATTTGACCTAATTTATCTTGTCATATTAAAACAATTTTGCCTAACCATTGTGCTCTCCTTAGCAATATAAGGACAAATTTGACAAGTGAGTATCTACTGTATGTAGACATGATAACAATATACATTGGCCT